CTCAAGGTGGGCGCCATCATCCGAGTCACATTATCTACCCTCGTACTCAGTAGGCTATCCTCCCTGCGTCCCCCGTGTCTCTTATAGAGGCTATTTGATCATTTTTTGTATACTCCCCCATTCGTATCACCTATGGTAGTGCTCGCGATCTCCTGTTGAGTCTCCGGTTCCAACATCTATGCTGCGCATCATTCAGAATCGAGGTCTGGTGAAGGAGTACCCCTGTATCTCCTCCCCGCTCAACACATGGGCTCTAGACGGCTTGGAGGGAGAAGGTTGTTTTGCTATCGCACCCCGCTCAGGAGTCAGAGCCAAGCACTTGGCTTTGCGCCTCATCGCCATATGTATTACATGAAGGCGGACGATCCCCATCGAGTTGGAGGTGCGTGACAGGTACATTTTCAATTCAATGAGGCTCGCGAGACTGACAGGACGGATCGCGCGCCGGACAGTGATTGGCGATTGGTCGGAGGTTCGACAGCAACTTTGATATCCTTTTATGGCTTTCATTCTATCATGTACGTCATGCTGAGGCGGGGATGATGCACGTATTGTTGTAATCATAGCTTGGAGCTCAGCGGCCTGTCTGAGGTGATCGCCCGGGCCCCTGAGCACGTTCCGTCAGTGTCGATGTGGCAAAGTGGTGAGCGCGTCGACTTCGGAAATCCCGTCTGTTACGTCCTTCATCAGAGCTTTGATTTGTTTGTTACGTCTCATCGCCTGGGTGGAAACTGCTTCGTGAACCTGTCTAGATACAGCGTGATACGTCACAGAATCATGACACGACTTCCGCGTCCTCTCAAACATATCCGTCGAGGTCTCAGGCGAGAGTTAGCAGGCCTGTCGACCACATTGTGATATGATTGACTGATCTGACCTGAAGGGAGTTATATACGCATCACCAGAGTTCCCGTTCTACGATGAACAGTGGCGTCCTATGTGGGCAATTCTCAGAACTTCCGTGTGTCGCGAAGAACAGACTTCTTGCTACGTTTAGAAAAGAAGGTTGAAGGTTCCGACAGGGGTGGCGCAACAGGAAGAGGTGAGGGATAGGCTCGGGTGATATCATGAGATCGCGTAACTGAAGTTTCTTCCAGTGGCAGAATGCAAAAGTACCGCCAATGAACTCTCACGTAAGCATTATTCTCTACCAGACAATCTCATACTACCAAGTACTACAACATTCATGGGGCAACTTGTTCTTCTAGGAACCTTAGTGAAGCTATGCAGAGAACGCAGTTCGAAACTCGGTATAGATGCCATGTGGTCAGAAAGTTAAAGTTGCGCCTTCTTGTGCTATATTTATATCTCGTGCACGTTACGAGATCCTCTGATCCTTTAACCAAATTCATCACTCTTGAAGACAGCTGTGAGACTAGAACGTTACGAAGGACATAGCTTTGTAGGAGTATTCCACTCGTTTCTACGGTACGGGCTTTCTTGCTCAATTTACCTGCTGTTCATCTGCCATGCGCCTTCCCATGTCCATTCCATCTGCCAACCCGGTATCTACCGATGCAGTACCTTTGTCTCACTATGGGACCGTAGAGGGTCTTAGCTTGCCTCTATCGCTCAAGTTCTAAATGGAGATGATGGCATCAACCATGGTCTTTGGTCGGCACCATCTCCAACCACAAACCGCGAAGTGAGACATCACCTGAGATATCGACTCCATGAGTATCAAGTCAAGTGGTCTCTTGGCGCTGTTCAAATATGTGCAAGCCTTCCATTCTGATGCAAGAGTCATCAGCTCTCGTTCAGCCCTCCCTCGAGACCATCAGCATGGTATTCTGTACAGTAGACACGAAATCCCACGAGTATACCGGAACAGCAAGGATGTCAGGGGTGGTATAAGCATTCGGAACCTCGAGTGCCCCCCATTATTCACATCTTCACACTGCGATAGCGAGCTGTTATGTCTTCCTCACGTTCCCCGGTTCCCCTTGCGCTGAGCTCCCTGGGTATTTCTCTAGATGAAACTTTCGGAGCGAATCTTCTGCTCACATTCTGTGGGCTCATGTGGGTGCTCTACTGCTGCCTTTCCGCTTGTCGCTAATCTTTTTGTCTCAAGCCTGTACGGCTTTAGCCTACACCAGATGTATCGCTACTTCCGCACATTTCCCAATGACGATAAATCTGTTCGCGTTATTGTGAGTGCATACTGAAGCGACCTGCTAAATGGAGGCTTCTTCTCACAGAGTCTCAAGGTACTTATAGTGATGTAAGGGTCAGACCACTCAAAATACGGAGGTCCCACGGCTCAATGGCTCACAGGATCGGACAAACGGTTCATTGCATCTTCACAATGCATCTGAGGTACATATTTGGCCATATTCGTGCCCTCATCCTGCTGAAGAGGACGGTAGCTACTACATGCTGGTCACCAACTTCTCAGACGTTCTGTCCCTCTTGAATGGTGTATGGTCAGTTGCTCGTTCCCTGTGTTTTTTGTGGGTGACGACTGACTGTAAGTCATCACAGGTCCCTGAACGTGAGATACAGTGACGTTGCACAAGAAATGGACAATCGCTTATGACCCCTTGTGTTTATAGGCTCTTCCTACAGTCTCGGTAAGGTTTAGAGTGATTATATATAATTATCCGTCTGAGACCGCATACCAGGCTCCAATCATTTTTCTGTCACAACTGTATGCTTTCATTACACCGTCATGCTCGTACTAGAGTACTGAAAGCCGTTGATCGTGCTAGATTCTTCGCAAGACGTATCGCTCTTGGCAAGTTGTCATCTCCATAGTCTCCTCAGATCTCGCTGACCCTAATGACGTAGTTGGTCCTAAGTACCGCTTGATTGTTATAGTGGCGGTCAGTTTCAGTCGCATCAAGTGTCGAAGTCTTCACCGGCTTCATATTGTTTGCAGAGCATTATACTTCTGAGCGAGTTTGGTAGGCATCTAAGAATTTGTATCTGTCTACCAGCTGCAATAACTGACGTGGGCTCCACAGGCTTTGCGATTGGTGAGGTAGACATCCGTCTATGTATGAACCACTTATTCATGTCCTACAATGCAGCTATCGCGTACAAAGGGTGAGGGCGAGCGATCAATTTACTGCTCGACTGCTGACCCATTGCAGCTTCACAGTGGCGTTGTCTTTTGACAGCGGCGGCAGTCGTGTTAGTAAACAGTTACTGTCACCGCCGACGCCAACAGAGTTGACTGACAGGACCTGTGGCTGTAGTGGCTGATTACTTCTGGACTGGCGATATCCTTTGCAACGGACCTCGTTTTTACACCAACACTGGCCGTGGCATTGTGGCAGAGCCGTGTAGGCCTTAGCCGGTACATGCTATAATACTCCGTTGGAGACTGACCTTCTTCTGACACCTGTTATTTCAGGGAGCAGTCTAGATACGAGCTTTTCACTACCTACGTCGTCAATACAGGCGAGCACGATTCGTTTCACTTCGAGAAATTGAGTTGACACAATCAATAGGGCTACTTCATTGGTACTCACTTTCACGTTTATCGCCTGTGTCCTCCGCTTGGCTGACGTTCTTTTGACGGGAAGCATCTTCAATGGCGCCGCGTTCATCGCGGTGAGTCACTATCATGGGGTATCGAATGCATCACTCAAGCATCCCAGTGTCTTGCTACAAGCCCCTTTTCTTACACGTACGGAATACCTGAGATTATTGCGACACGATGTACGTACAGTGGCAATCCTTTCATGATAAGCCAGCTTCTCATTGACAGTTAGTGTATGCCAATACATTGCTTTGTGCGTAAGTACTAGTCTTTCGTCTGGTTCACACAGACCCATAACGCTCGATTTTCTGTGCCGAAGTCTGAACTCGCGCGACCCGAAGAAAGCGCTCAGTATCTTTGATGGCGGCTCGTACGGCAGGAATCTCATTCAACGCATGAACCATCGAGCCGCCGCAGAGACATGGAATGTCCCTCAGGTAGTATAGTTCATATCTCTAAGTCCCTTCATCTAAGCCGCAACGCAGCTCACACCTCTGCCTTGCCCTAGATTCCAGACGATCCCCAAGCAATTCATATCAATGTTACGACTGAGGCCGAAGGAGCATTGGACATAAAACGAGACAGCGCACCGCAGTACAAGCACCATATTGTCTAACGTCTGTCAGGTTCACTTCCGGCGACTATGGTCCTTGGAACCCCGTTGTTACATGTTCTTCAACTGACGATGTCTGACGTGCCAATGCAGGACTCCCCTATAGATATAGCAAATATGTAAATCACCCGTAATTTGCGCCCGTCCGAGATCCCATCCGTGCCATAAACTGAGACCATCTCTTGAGACTCGTGAACGTACACTTATGTATCAATATATATATGGCTATGATTGTCTTGCGCCTTGTATGTATGTCAAGCCTCTCTTTGTCATCAGAACCACCGTAGCCCAGACGTGCACCTCCTGCAGAAACCAGGCTGGCGATGACTTCCATCGGATCTGTCCGTGGAGTTGTCCTATGAATGAACCAAGGTTGATTGTACTGAGGCTGCTAGCCATACCTGTCAGCGACCAGATGAGGGAGCGGCGCACGAGAGACCGAATGTCGGCTCACGGATGCCAACGATGCTGAGAACGGCCCTACTGCAGTCGATTCCCTTGCGGTAGTATCAACACTAGATAGCGAGCGATATGGTGTAGCCCGCGACGACGACGGAGATTGTCGCCAATCCATCCTGGATGTAGAAGAGTAAAGGGTCTCGTTCTACACAAGGTTCCAGTACCAAAGTGCGCCAGCGCAACCGTGAGGTTGGCATTAGAACTTTCAGCATGCAGAAGAGACGGCAACCGACCTCCGACGGGCCTGATCATTGATGATGTATTATTCGATGGCGCTGGTTGGAGCGCTGGCAGCGATGACTCCATTCTTCGTCGGCGCGGGCTCAGAATGGCTTGCAATACTGTGTCTGAGAACGATCTGATACAGGGTACCGATCATGGCATGAAACTCCACCCGTCACTCGATATCCCAGCGACGAGGACATGTCAGGTCGCGACCTCGAGGTCCGAACAGCACTGGCATTAAACCCTAGCGTGTACAGTACTTTCTATCCAAGGCATAGGAGTGTGTGGACGTGGTATCATGACGGGTCTGTGATTTGACATCAGCATCTATCGCACGTAGCATCCGCCCAGCATGGACGTCCATACCCCATCACCACGCCTTCCCATTCGCCGCCTTCGCATGCCCGTTCGCATACCCACTCTCCTTCCCCTCCCTCTCCCCATCCTCATACCCAACCTCATACGCCTGGTACAGCCGCTCGAACCGCTCCAGCAGCACCTCCCCCGCGTTCGGGTGCTCCTCCCACACCGGCACCGCAATCACCCCCGTGCGGTCCCGCCCCCACTTGTCGTTCTCGCTCCCGAAGCGCAGCGCCATCACCCTGTCCGAGCAATTCTTGTGGTACGCGTGCCAGTACGGGTACTCGACGTCGAGCGGGGAGATGCGCGGCTCGCTGCGGACCGTCGGGACGGCGGCGAGCGGGACGAGCGCGAGGTGGATGGCGGAGACGGCGGCGGAAAAGAGGGACATGAGGACGTGGGGCGCGCCGAGGAGGCGCACCTGCGACACGCTTCATGTGTGAGCACGGAGAGGAGAGAACACGAGAGAGGTCAGGGGAGGACGTACGATCCAGAATGAGGCGATCATCAGATACCTCCAGCCCGGTATCCAGATGTTAAGCAGCGAGCTCATGTTCGTAGAGGTGATCCCTGGGGACACGATCAGGTGGTGGATCTCCCCGTGCGGCGCGACCGTCTCCCCCAGACTCGACGCACGCCCAGTTTCCTGCGCTTCGATGGTGCGCTTCTCGAGCTCGGACACGATGAGCTCGATCTGGAACTTGGACGCTTGGTACGAGTGGTAGGTCTTGGTGAGCTGCCAGTCGTCTGCCGGGTCGAACTCGGGCTCGGCGTCCAAAGAGGACATCCAGAGCACGCGTGCGGAGCGGGAGGTGTGGCGAGTGTACGCGAGGAGAAGATCTTGAACAGAGCGATACTATCCAAGAACCACGAAGGTCGATTGGGTGCAGAGGGACAATAGCTGCGGACAGGGGGACGTACCAGCATGTAATGCCCAAACGTGTTGCACTGCCAAGTGTATCCGAGGTTGTCCTTGCTCAGAACGCCATTGACCTGCATGTTTCGTCGAGGGTGGTGGACGGCGTGGACAGGCCAGCGGAATAAATCCAAGACGAAGCCGAGAATATCGAGGTGGCTATACGTCGCGGTGCCGGCGTTGAATATGAGATGTGAGATGTACTCGTATCTATGGAGAACGAAGGGTCAATCGTCCATCCTTTTCGTGGCAACGCCGTAACACAACCAGAGGCGAAGGGGGGACGCGACCCAATGACACGAGCCACACAAGATCCACGATCCACGAATGTGGATGATCGATGGCGGCCATGTGCGCGGGGTATCTCAGTATACGCAATCAAGGTATGAACAATGTGCGGATAGTACGGGAAGGCACCCAGGGATCCGGCCAGCACCAATTGTCCTGTGACACCTACGCGCGTATTGATACCACCCTCTGTCCCTTGGACGGAGTAAGGCAATTGTGTAATAATAATTGTCCTTACAACGACCCCGACGTGCATCGTCGCTCTATGTTCGCCCGTGCAAAATACGTGCATACGATAAGGACATCTCGTGGCAATGCAGGGTTCTCACTAAGCTGAAGAAACGAAGGTGGAAATCACTCTGTCCTAACTTCTCTCCGCGCCTTCCTCTTCCAGACGCGGATTAACTAGAACCTCTCGCGGAGTCCGCTCTACACGCGGATATCGAAGTGAGAACCGGGAAGGAGAACTCACCTGTCCGAGGCCCTCCTCCCGAAGTCTAGCACGCTCCTCACCGACGACAAGTCCAACGTCTCCAACTCCAGCCTCACGTTCCTCCGGAACGTACTCGCGTACGCGTGGTCCTTAGATCCTAGTGATATCTTGGCTATATGTTGGTCCAGTAAGGCGTAGAGTCTCGCCCTGGCGTCCTGAGCGCGTTTTGGATCTCGGCACGCCATGATGATTGTTACGCCTGCCTCAGGGTCGCTGAAGTCGTATTCATTCAGGATACCGTGGTATGAGCGGGCGTAGGCGGGGTCGGCCTCCTTGACATTGAAGAACGGCTGCGCATCAGGAGGATTTGCGGAGGAGAGGTTGACCAGAAGTCTATGGCAAATGCCGAAGCCGACGCCGCTGAAGAAATGTTGGTACAATTGAGCGTCTGTGCAGGGCGAAATGCCACGCACCCGTTTGCGCCGGTGACCACAATCACCAAACCCTTCGACATGAAGTTCAGGGGTCTAGTGGTCGGGCAATTTGAGTAGAGGGAAACGGAGGAGCTGGAAAGGGTGGGGAAAGAGCAGCGCTGCCCGTGGTAAATCCTGCCACATCGTCCCATACGGCCGCTATTGGCGCCCGAGCGGCTTTCCCAATGCGGGAAATTCCCGGCCCGACCCGTGTCCCGTCGTCGTCGACAAACGATGGAACATGATTGCAAACTGCCACTGATCTTCCTCCTTCGTCTCCTCACTTCGAACCACTCTTTCAAGCCCCCAGTGCCTTGATAATGACATGGCAGCACGAGATGGTACTACAACGCCTAGACCTGTCAAGTTGGATCGGCATCCTGCTCACCTGCGAATCGCGCGGGGATGCAGTAGCACTCCAGGTGAGATGCGTGCGAAGTAAGGGCGAGTACTCTTCCTTAACCACAACCTGCAGCGGAACGCACGTATGTCCCCTACGAATAGGCTAGGTTTCAGAACTTCTCTCTGCATGCGCGCCCTGCCCTGAGCGCCCTCGTGGCCATCACGCTGCATACTCAATCATTGCCAAATGATTCCGCGACATGTCACAACATGTCTCCAAAACCGTTGCCGAAGGCTCCTTCACAACTCAATAAATACCACGACTCTCATCCCCACTGCTCTACTGACGTGTCGAGACCATGGTCGTGTATCCTGTGCGTACTCCGGAAGAGGTGGGCACGACGGTCCCGGTTGACCCCAAAGTGCCCGCTGAAACGTATACATACGACTACATCGTCGTCGGAGGTACGTGTTCCTCTGATGCCCCTCAAGGTGTTCCGTGCTCATCCGACTACCTTTACACAGGTGGCACGGCAGGCTGCGTCCTCGCTTCCCGCCTCTCTGAGGACCCGGATACCAGCGTCCTGCTCATCGAGCAAGGCCCCGTGGCCGACACATGGGCCTCGCGCGTGCCCACAATTTCTTCCAATCTCTTCGCTAAGGATAGCTTAGCGGCGCACTGGTGGTCGACGCCAATGCCGCATGCTGACAATCGCTCGCTGGGGGTCATGCGGGGTGAGGCTCTCGGGGGGACCACCCGGATCAACTCAATGTTATATACGAGAGGTGAGCTCTGCGTCTTTCTGCGCCCTTGGTCCCCCCATGCACTGGTACAAGATCTACTCGGTCATTCTTGAATGCATAGAGTGGTTTCCTGCAGAGCTGCGTGCATGTTGCAGTTGAGTTCGCGGAGGGCATGGGCTTCCGCGTAGCTGTTGCCCGAGCCACCGTGGGGCTGTGAATGCCTCTTAGCTCGAGCGAATAGACATCTCCAGGGCTCATTCCATAGCGTGTCTGTTCAAGTCGACCTTGGTAGCCATGGCTTCCAGTACTGCAAACCGTCACGGCGAACGGAGACCGTGGTAGTTCCACACACTGCGTTTCCCATGCCTGACATGCTAGCTATTCACCAACTTGCCATCAGTGCTCACATAACGTCCAGGTACTCCTGGAGACTACAATCAATGGAAACTGCTCGGCAACGACGGCTGGGGCTACGACGACGTCGAGCCATACTTCGTCAAATCCGAGAGGACGCATTCACTTCCCGCGTCCAAATACCGCGGCAAGGCAGGTGTGTGCACCCGATTACATGACTACCGATCTTGTTCTTGACCTACGATCGGTGCCGCATACTTAGGCCCGTGGCAGAACCAACAATTCCCTATCTCGCAATACAAAGCTGTGCCGTAGTGAGTCCCCCTTGCCCCTCGGCCATGCCTGACGTTCATGGCTTGACGTCGGGCGCAGCGTGCACCGTGCTCTCCAGAAAGTCGGCATCGAGCGTCACCCCGATCTCAACTCGCCGTCCATGCCCGCAGCAGGCACAGGCACGCTCGACGTCACGGAAGACAAGCAGTACCACCGCCACTCAGTTGATCGCGCGTTCCTCCCCGCAAAGCTTGCGCATGAGCGCAGAACACGATTGAAGATCTGCACCGCTACGATCGTTACGCGCGTGGTGCTCGCGGAGGAAGGAGATGAGGTCAGGGCGACAGGTGTGCATCTTGAGACGACGAATGCGAGGAAGGCGTGGAAGCGGTATCTGGCGACGGCGAGGAGGGAGGTGGTGTTGTGTGGGGGTGCGCTCGGGTCGCCACACCTGCTCATGCTGAGGTATGCTGGTTTCGTTCTATGCTTGTCAGAGATCCACGCTGAGCACTCGTGAAGTGGGTTGGGTCCGAAGGAACACTTGGAGAGTAAGAGCATCCGAGTGGTACGTGACCTGCCAGCAGTTGGCAGCTATCTGGTGCGTTGTTCGTCAGGTCCATGTGCATTCGTATCTGAGCAGACGTACAGCAAGATCACATCGGTGTTCCGCTGACCTTCGAGGTCCCCATTGAAGATAGTCTGCACATCCTCGAAGTCAGCCCCGCGCGTGTCGTTAAAGAGCTCCTGAAGTATCTCATCACCGGCCGCGGCGCGCTCTCCCATCCATTCCAAACCGCTTCAACATTCATCCCATCTCGCCTCCTCGACGATAAATCTACCGTCTCCGTCAAAGACTCCTCCGACCTGGACGCCTCCATCCCTGCGAACAGGCCCGACATCGAGTTCATGTACATTGGGAACAACTGCACGGACACCGATATTCCCCGCACAGGACTCTTCACCCTCCTCTCCGCAAATATTCGGCCGAAGTCGATGGGCTCCGTGCGCCTCGCGTCAAGCAACCCGCGCGTGCGCC